GAATTCGAAATTTTCTTAATTTTCATTCGCTGATTAAATCAAAGACCATCGTAACGAGTTTTGTGATTTGCCCGGGTTTTGCACATCTCGGACGTGAATTTCCGGGGCGTGTCATGCAAAAATGCGCACCCACGTTGATCTTCTGCCACCGGCCGCCCATTATCCATCTCCCCCCTCTTCCCAGTTATACTGTCGAATGCGCTGTAAATTATAAACCTGTACTTTTTTCTAAAATAAATTTCAGTGAATTGTTGTGATGAAAGATATGTCCGGAATGGAATTTCGACGCCAGGATAAATGGATGTAATTGATTTCTGGTTTGAACCACTGCAACTGTTGACTTCTGTACCATTAACACTACTCGTCTGATCTTCACCTGTCACTCTCCTCACCGCACTTCCCATCTCGTGGATTGAGCAGCTGGATGATAAGCTGTACAAACAGGATTTGTTAGCTGTGAAGAGGAACTGTTGCTGTGAAACATGTTCTGAGTAGTGAATGAATGTAATTATCTTGACATTACTCAGCTGACCGTGCAATTTTCCCGGATTACCGCATTACCCACATGCAAAAATATTTTTACGCCAAGCATGCACTCACAAATAGCCGTGGGAAACGATAAGCGTATTACATCACTCATTTATCATGAGTACCATTTATACTCAAGCATATCAGAGTCCATCTTTTGCATGCTTTAAGGACTTTTCCGGTCGACTCCCTAGCGTCTTCAATTCGTGACATCGACCTCGCGACCTGGGTGGTAAAACAGATGGGCTAAACCTCATGCAAGTATGGAAAAGTGCACCGAACAGCGTGGGCGGACTAAAAAGAGAAGGTAATAAGTGCTTTCTTTCAGCGTACATGTTAAGCGCATTCACTTTTATGCGCTTTTGCATCAGTGATTTCACCAAAACTCATTAATCCGTAATCGTCTGTATACATTTCAACTTTAAAACTATAAAAGCTAAAAACTGGAATTTTGAAAGCAAATTCCTCCATCATTTATGAGCCCAGATCTGAACTTGTTGACTTTTGACACTAAGTATTAGCTAGTTGAAATTGGCTAGGACTAGCAAAAAGAGTTAAAATGAATTGAGAGGCGGATAATAATCGCATATTCCGATAGAAGGTCGACAATCACGGTAGAAAATTTCAGTTTTCTAGCCACAGTGATCATCATAATGCATAACAAAGTGAACATGGTAAATTTCAGCTTTTTAGCTGTTCTGGTGCTTAACAGAAATGAAATTGGTAAATCCCAGCTTTTACAGAGCCGAAACCGAATCGTTTTGTTAGGCAGTCAAGCACTTACACACAGACACACAGAAATTGCCTGGCTAAAGTGCGATTTGGGGTGGATGACGCAAAAACACTCAAGGGCAAGAAGAGCTGAAGTGTTTTTGTGCAAATTTATCTTTTCCAAACCATCGAGATATCATGATGACTACCCGCGGCGGTTAAAGAAAAGGAAAAACAGCTGAAAAAGTGAAAAAATATTAAAGGCTCCATGACGGACATGTCGTGAAGAAGCGGAAGCCAAGCATAGTAGCAAACGTACTCCCACTATAATTCGAGATACGCCGTGGCTGCTGAATCTTCGATGTTACTGCGATCAGAAAGAAGTATGGAAGAAAATTTTGGTTTAAGAAGGTCTTGACCTTCTTATAGTGACTTAAAAAATGAGAGAAAATTTTGGTTCCGCGACATGATGGGGAGGGAGCCATTTTGAAATTGCACAGCTTTTTGGATTCAATTTATAAACCTTGCTCGAATATCGGTTCAAAGGTGGAAGCCGAGGAGGAGCATGATTTGTTTTGCCCTGCAAACATGTTCGCAAATTTTGTTCACACTTT